CAAAGGTCTCCTTGCTTCATACTGCTCTTGTCCCACACAACCACACAAAGGTCTTCTTGCTTCCTACTACTCTTGCCCCACAAAGAGGTCTTCTTGCTTCATACTACTTTTGTCCCACACAGAGGTCTCCTTGCTTCATACTGCTCTTGTCCCACACAACCACACAAAGGTCTTCTTGCTTCCTACTACTCTTGTCCCACAAAGAGGTCTTCTTGCTTCATACTACTTTTGTCCCACACAACCATACAAATGTCTTCATGCTTCCTACTACTCTTGTTCCACACAGGACCACACAGAGATATTCTTGCTTCGTACTACTTTTGTCCCACACAGAGGTCTCCCTCTTCATACTACTCTTGTCCCACACAACCACACAAAGGTCTTCTTGCTTCCTACTACTCTTCTCCCACACAAGACCACACAGAGATATTCTTGCTTCATATTACTTTTGTCCCACACAGAGGTCTCCTTGCTTCATACTACTCTTGTCCCACACAACTACACAAAGGTCTTCTTGCTTCATACTACAAAGGACCACACAGAGGTCTCCTTGCGTGTCTGCCACACAACCACACAAAGGTCTTCTTGCTTTCTACTACTCTTGTCCCACACAGGACCACACAGAGGTCTCCTTGCGTCATACTGCCCTTGTCCCACACAACCACACAAAGGTCTTGTTGCTTCCTACTACTCTTGTCCCACACGGGACGAGACAGAGATCTTATTGCTTCATACTTGCCTGCAGTCCCCCCTGTCCTACACTGGACTGGCATTCCTTGTCCCAAAGTGGACTAATGTTTCATCTTGTCCCTTTCTAGACTATATCTACATCTATTTTTCTACAACTGACTCCACAACTGTTATGCTGGCCTATCACATATTATACTTCTCTGACCAATCTCAGACCACCCTACTATGGACTGTCACACTCTATATTACATCACACTGCCCTACTCTGGGCTATATATGCTTTTTAACTCAAGGATGTTTGTCTGTGCTGTCTCCAAAACCTACACTGGCCTACAGTATGTCCTACTGACCAAACTGCTGTGAACTATTTTACACAATCCTTTTCTGGGATCATCTGATCAACCTTCTTTGGATCAGAACTTTGCGCTCTGAACATTTATCGCTGGTACATCATCTTGCTCTGAACAGTCTACGGCTGTCTCCTGCTGCCCTACTCACATGACTATCGCATGTTTTTTACTGCTGACTTTATCATGCTGTCCTATTTATTTATTTCAGGTACTTATATAGCGCCGTCAGTTTACGCAGCGCTTTACTAATCAGGGATATTTGTCCCATTATGCTCCCAGTTTGGGCGGTATAATGAAACTTAAAGTGTATCTATATCCCAAACCTTTTATTTTCGTTTTCAATAAGGTGGGGGTTGTTTGGACTCCTGTCAGGTTTTATGGCGATTTAAGTCTCTATAAGAGAGTTTTCTGTTCTGGGGACAAGGTCTTACCAGACAGGAAGTAAGGGAAAATCTGCAGCAGGAAAACAGTCAACAATAAAAAGCTGTGATTTTAGCATTTTTCTACTTAACGTAAAAAAAAAAAAACATTTTCAATTCTGTTTGTGTTGCTGTCATTAGAGAGTTCTGTTCACTTTTTGTCCTGGGGACATCATTTTTACCAGACAGGAAATGAAGGAATTTTTCCAACGACAGTAAGACTTGACAGAAGCTCTAATCCCTCTCCACTCTATCCAAAATAAGGACACGCTTTGGGCACTTTATAGAATATCCACAGTGACTTTTTTTTAAATTTCGATTAAAGTATGAAAGGGTTAAAAACATGTACGTTTATTGTTTGCTGTATGTGCATCATTGGGGTAACTTCCTTCACTTCCTGTCTTGAAGATGCAAGAGTAAATCACAACCAACTGAAGGGAGCTCCTAGAACAAGAGTCCCATTGGAAGATCTCTACCAGCTTCCTGGTCTGGTGACAACTCTAGAATTTGGATTTCCTATCACTTTCTGTCTCAGTAACTATAGTCATCAGGAAATAGAGAGAAGGGAAATCTACAGTAACCACCCAAACAGCAATATAAACTTTGATAGGTATTCTAATTCTTTCCTACTTCATCCAAAACAAAGAAAATTTCATCTATACAGCTTACATTGTTAAAAACTATTTGGAAACTTAAAGGGAGATTTTGGCTAACTAATGGAAGATTCAAAAACATGAAACCTTGTGGTGTTATCTTCAATACTTTTACTTCCCTAGACTTACACTAAATAATTATTTATCCATCCCAGTTAGATTTCTACATAATTCTTGGTGCTAAGAAGGAAAAGCTACTTGTTCCCTTTAGCGACTTTCATGTAGACGTAGTAGTACAACACAGGATATTTATCTCTGTTATCCATATTTATTTGGGCTGGCCTTTGCAGCATTAAATTTGTCATATTCTTGCTTATCTTACAAATGTATTTACTTTTTAATTAATTTTATTTTTTTATTTTTTTTCTATCAAAGTAGCATACGGTAGTCAGTTTTTTTAACAACTGCATAAATGTATTATAGTCAATAAGCAAAAAGCCAAAACCTCCAGTAAAGGAACCCTTCATCTGAAAGTTTTAACTTGTACTGTCACATACTGTATATTTGTCTGATCCAACATGGTATGTTTCTTATTACCTTCAGACTAAGCTTCATGACACTATACTAACTTTGTCTCTTGACTCCGATCAACATTTGTCTTGGAGGTTTTATCATCTTATTCCCCCACACCTCAGCCCATTCTATCTCTCCACGTGTCTCTTTTTTGGTTTCTTCTGCACTCCTTATGGTCTGCTTCTAATCCAATGCTTGCTCCCCGAGTCGGCACTTTATCTCCAAAGATGACTTTCATCTACTGTTGTAAGTCGCATGTATTCCTGTCCTGGCTCTTTGCCTAAGCGTTGCTATTCTCCTAGGCATAGTTGTCTCTTTGACTTGTCTTACTTTCTTCCAATTTTGTGGAAGACAAATAGAATTATTTTGTCTCTTGGACCAAGTCAACCAAGTTGCGTCAATTTCTTGGCCTTGAGATGATCAGAGAAGGAGAACCTTCAAAAAAAAAAAGTATAAAATACTCATATTTGAGGTTCGACTTTTAGTACGTCAATTTTTCCTTTCTTAAGGTTAGGTTTTTTTTTTTAATGTCTTCTGTTCAAAGTGAAGGTTGTTTTGCCTACCTTAGTCTTACCCATATCCATTGTTCAAACCTTGATATCTTTCATATTTTACACACTGGTTTTCCTGCATTCTTGGCTGGCTCTTTCTGCTTTCTCAGGTCTTCTTCCCCTGTCTCTAGGCAAACTCTCTTTCCTACCATGTGCTAACTGTCTACCTTGCTCCAGGCTGCTAGTTTTTCTTTTCCTGTGGGTAAACTCATTTTCTCTGCTCCACTGAAGCTATCTCACTTTTATCTCTGGGTGATTTAAAACGTAAACGCTGGAGTAGAGAAAACCACTGTCCCTTGGGCGCTTAATTTAATAAGCCACCCATTGTGACCACGGTTCGCGTGCCTCAAAGATCTGCATGATTCAGTGCTAAGGTGGCACTAACAGGCTAACAGTCACCACAATACATAATGTACTATTGGGACGCAAGACCCTTTAATGCATTGTGACGGTTGCAATGCAACTGCCCTGTATAAGTTCAAAGCCCCCTTAGTTCATCTTCATTACTCATTCTCCCTTCAGGCTGCCTGGCTCTTTCATGGTAATTAATTCTGATAGTGCCAATCAGGGCATCGCTCCAGAAGGGATTGTACACAAGTTCAGTTCTAGGATCAATGCTAATTCCGAAAGGAAAAAAAAAAAAAACAATATAAGCACTTTCCCTCCATCTCTCCCCCCTTCTGTTTTGTGTTCTGCTGCCACTTTAGCTTTCAATCAGTCCTTTTTTATTCTAAACACCAATTAATTAAGCTACATTTCAATCACGTAGATGGATGTCGTTTCAACAGTTAAATCATTTTAGCAGTTTGCATGTGAAGGAGAAAGCCAAATTTCCAATTGTAAAGTTGCCAGCTGTCTCTGACTTGTAGGGACTTTGATTTGAAGGACTGTCCCTGGAAATTTTTGATCCTGGTATTTGCCCCCGGCAAATGAATGCTTCTTTTTTTGCTTTGCCTAGTATTGTTTCCTAGACTTTTTGTTATATTCATTAAATAACAGCAATTCAAAAAATCGTTTAACTGTTTATATAGACTTTATTAATTGGCGATGATAAATATTCTATCATTATAGCCTAGTAAGTTATGTAGTTCATTTTAGTCGTATGAGATGATTTGGTGTAAGATGAGCATGGATATAATAGTTAAGCAGCAAAGTGTCTCCGGGGAATTATTTCAAGCTATTAAAGATTAGATCGATCTATCTATCTATCTATCTATCTATCTATCTATCTATCTATCTATCTATCTATCTATCTATCTATCTCGCCATAGGATCTATCTATCTATCTATCTATCTATCTATCTATCTATCTATCTATCTATCTATCTATCTATCTATCTATCTATCTATCTATCTATCTCCATAGGATCTATCTATCTATCTATCTATCCATAGGATCTATCTATCTATCTATCTATCTATCTATCTATCTATCCATCTCAATTTTGCATTATCTATGTATATAAATTAATACAACTCTTTCTTTAATTAAAAAAGAGGGTGACACTCTTACTCACATTTATGTGAGCTTACAGCGCCAGCACAAAAGATGCATACTAAATTTTACATTTTGAATTTTTGAATTATTTACATGTTTATGTTTTCTTGCTCAGGTAAGGCAGCTTTGCTTGCATTATTGTGCATAGATGCCAGTGCATATATAAAAACTCAATGCAGTGTATAATAATCAGAACTGTATGCTTGAAATAGTAGTTCCTAGCAGCTGGAGGGTCAAAAGTTGATCAGCCTTGGTATAGGAGATTAGCAAGCAAGTTTGTTAACATTGGTTTGTTGTTCAGTTTTTAATGTTCTACCCAAGCACTCTTAAAGCAAATCAGATGTTCCACTGTTAAAACTGAAAAGTGCCAATGCCGGCACACTCACCTGTCCGTTTTTGCAGAGGTCTGCCCACATGCTTGTGCCGTCCCCACCTCTCATCAGGACATGGTAGGTGAAGAAGTAGGTGCCTGGTACTGTACAGCTGAACCGTCCACTTGCAGCATCATAATTGTTCCCAAGGTTGGTGACCACATCGTCAAATTTTAGGATCTCATAGCCCTCATGGGGGTTCTTCAAGCCAGCGTAGAAGGCCACACGTGGAACGGTGGTATATGTAGCTGTACTGATGGCACCAGTCACTCCACCTCCTGGCAGTCCCGCTGGTCCAGGCTTGCCTGGTTCTCCTCGTTCTCCTGGTGGACCTACAGGACCTGGTGGGCCAGGTAGCCCAGGCTCTCCAGGAGGTCCTGGCTTTCCCGGACGTCCAGCCTTTCCTTGAGGACCTTGAACTAAAGTTGATGGGGCTGGTTGTCCTCTGTCGCTTAAAGGTTCAGCTCCAGTGCCGGCTCGAATACTAGTACTGGTGGTTGTTGTCCCAGCTTTAGCAAGGTAGGGGTCACACACCATCCGGCAAGTGCCCAACATCTCATAGTGGCCATCGGAGCCCACAGAGTTGACCAACACTGGAATGAGGATTACCAAAATTAGCACCATTACTACTCCAATTGCCACTGCCACCAAAGTCTTCCTCCCAAGGCCGAATGGGGCCAAGGGACGGGGGGACCCACGGCTGGGGGGAGCTATGGTGCCGGAAATTGTGGAGGGGAGGCAAGTGGCCCCTCCGGAGAACAGGATTTGTGGTCTTTGAGGAGACACACAATGCAGCGTTGTAGCAAAAAAAGCAAAATACAGGATCAGGTAACAAAAGTAAAAAAACAGAAGAAGGTTAAATAAATATAAAGCACAAAAGGATGAATATTCAGAATGGTGAGAACTTGACAGAACTTCAGGAAAATAAAAGAGTAAAAATGGATTTCAGAAAGAAATGAGAAGGAAAATGTAAGAGATGGGAGAAAACTGTAACACCAAAAAAAGTGAATGGATGATATATTACAGAACAGTGAAGAAAGCAAAGATTAAGAATAAAAAGGGAATTGTAGAAGAGAGATAAGAAGGTGGGTAGGATGCAGAGAAGAGGGGAGGGGAGCAGGTGAATGTGAATACTTAAAAATAAAAGGATTAAAGTAGAGAGAACAGACAGAGAAGAGGCAGCAGTGACGAAGAGGGACAGAAGAGAAAGCCAGATAGAAGGAGATTACGAGACAGGGGAAAGCTGCTGAGGCAAAGCAGTAAAAGGCAGCGGGGAATGTAACTTGTGAGAGAATGCTGTGTGCAATAGGAGTCTTATATATATGAGACAGAGCATTGCCCCCTACAGGTTGAATAACAGTATGCAGCTTTTTTTGGAAATAATTTCAGGTGGGTTTACTCACAGGTACATACACCTTAGAGCATATTTTCTAAAGAAGTCAAAATTGGATTTGAGATCTATGTATGGGTAGGTGACCTTAGCTTTATATCATATTTATGTAAGCACTACAGAAGAGAAAGCAAACAATCGACAATAAAGGTTACTTCAAAACAAATGCATTTTTTATATATATACATTTTGAAATATATATATACAATTAAAATATGTCAGTAATCTACAGACAGCCTTCAAAGCTGACCACCTGACAGATATTATTAACATAATTAAATTTGGTTATGATGTTTAAAAATGTATTTCACATACAGTTAGTAAAAGTAACTGAATTTCTCATTATATCAGCTTCCTATATATACAATATATTGCCAAAAGTATTGGGCCAGCCCTCCAAATCATTGGATTCAGGCGTTCCAATCACCTCCATGGCCACAGGTGTATAAAATCATCACCTAGGCATGCAGACTGCTTCTACAAACATTTGTGAAAGAATGGGTCGCTCTCAGGAGCTCAGTGACTCCAAGCATGATACCATGAAAGGTTGTCACCTGTGCAATAAGTCCATCCGTGAAATGTCCTTGCTACTAAATATTCCACGGTCAACTGTTAGTGGTATTATAACAAAGTGGAAGCAACTGGGAACAACAGCAACTCAACCACCAAGCAGTAGGCCACGTAAAATGACAGAGCGGGGTCAGCGCTGAATTGGACAGTGCGCAGAAGTCACCAATTGTCAATATTGAACCCTACGGACTAAGACTGTAGTATATATATATATATATATATATATATATACACTATATTGCCAAAAGTATTGGGATGCCTGCCTTTACATGCACATGAATTTTAATCCAGAAGCTCCATAGAAAATGGATTCATCTATTTGATGGTAACAGCAGCAATGGTAACTTTCCTGGTGAACGCACTCTTTACTGTGATCCTGACTGTACTGGGCTTTCTTTTACGCTTCAGAATATTGTATCTACATTAATTTTAATGACATCCCAGTCTTAGTCCGTAGTGTTCCTTCTAGGTTTGTGGGCTCCAGCTGTTCGAATGGACGGGCCGCGATGACATCACTCCTGTGCATGTGCACAGGAGTCACGGTCATGGCACAGCTCTCTCCATGGATGGCGTACTCCTGTATGCCGTCCATTGAGAGCACAGTTCGCATGCGTTGGTGACATCACTAGCCTCTGCAAATGTGAATATTTCCTAAATGGTGCATGTTTAGGAGATAGTCACTGTAGGTAAGACTTATTATAGACTTACCCATAGGTAGATATCTTAAACCAGACTTTACTACCACTTTAAACGTCTGATTTTAAAATGGATAATCAGAATATGGAATAGCAAGTAAGTTTAAATGGTAAGGTCACATAAAATGATTACTTTCAGGTAAATGTTTCAATATTAGCTTGCAATGTGACCTTGTACACTCTGGAAGCGTACAATCCAAACGCACACGTTCCTGCGTTAAAAATGGCTGTGTGTATAAGTGGGTGCTGTAGCGACCGTCGGCTGGAACTGAACAAAATCAGCAAAGGAGAATGTCGCCAACACACCAAGGATCACCAATATGGGTCCAAAGGTCACATGCCTGATGAAGGGGTCCTGCGAGACTCCGAAATGTTGCCTTGCTGTAACTATGTGATAGTTTATTAAAACTTTTGGACCCATATTGGTGATCCTTGGTGTGCTGGTGACATTTTTCCTTGTACACTCTGGGTTTCCTCTAAGCCAGCGGTTCTCAACCTGGGGGTCGCGACCCCTTTGGGGGTCGAACGACACTTTCCCAGGGGTCGCCTAAGACCATCGGAAAACACATATTTCCGATGGCCTTAGGAACCGAGACACCGCTCCTTGATCCGTCTGCAGGTGTGGGCGGGATGACATGCCGTCCCTGTCATCTGGACACACCCCCGGGATCAATCCTTCCTCGTCGGTGATTGGCCGCCGGAACTGTAGCTCAAGAGAGGCACACAGGCGGCCAATCACCGGCGAGGAGGTGGAGCTTGGAAAGGAGGAGCCGAGCGGCACCGCGAAGCACGAGCGAGTGAAGAGGAGGAAAGCGGCCGGAGAAGGAAGCCATCTGACCGGTAAGTGTTTGTACCATGGGAGAGGGAGCGAGCGAGCGAGCGAGCCCAGGCTGGAGCAGGGGTCAGCAAGGTAAGTATCATTGGTGTCAGTGGGAGGAATAGTGCCCAATCATTGGTGTCACTATTACCAATGATGGGGCACTATTCCTCCCCCCACTGACACCAACGATGGGGCACTATTCCTCCCACTGACACCAACGATGGGGCACTATTCCTCCTACTGACACCAACGATGGGGCACTATTCCTCCCACTGACACCAACGATGGGGCACTATACTTCCCTCTGATACCAACGATGGGGCACTATTCCTCCCACTGACACCAATGTTGGGCACTATTGCTCCCCCTGATGCCAACGATGGGGCACTATTCCTCCCACTGACACCAATGATGGGGGCACTATTCCTCCCACTGACACCAATGATGGAGCACTATTCCTCCCACTGACACCAATAATGGGGCCGTATTCCCCCCACTGACACCAATGATGGGGGACTATTCCCCCCACTGACACCTATGATGGGGCACTATTCCTACCACTGGCACCAATGATGGGGCACTATTCCTACCACTGATACCAATGATGGGGCACTATTCCTCCCATTGACATCAGTGATGGGACACTATTCCTCCCACTGGCACCAATGATGGGGCACTATTCCTCCCACTGACACCAATGATGGGGCACTATTCCTCTCACTGACACCAATGATGGAGCACTATTCCTCCCACTGATACCAATGATGGGGCACTATTCCTCTCACTGACACCAATGATGGAGCACTATTCCTCCCACTGATACCAATGATGGGGCACTATTCCTCCCACTGACACCAATGATGGGGCAGTATTCCTCGCACTGACACCAATGACGTGGCACTATTCCTCCCACTGATACCAATGATGGGGCACTATTCCTCCCATTGACATCAATGATGGGACACTATTCCTCCCACTGACACCAATGATGGGGCACTATTCCTCCCACTGATACCAATGATGGGGCACTATTCCTCCCACTAATACCAATGAGGGAGCACTATTCCTCCCACTGACACCAATGACGTGGCACTATTCCTCCCACTGACACCAATGACGTGGCACTATTCCTCCCACTGACACCAATGATGGGGCACTATTCCTCCCACTGATACCAATGATGGGGCACTATTCCTCCCACTGACACCAATGATGGGGCACTATTCCTCCACTGATACCTATGATGGGGTACTATTCCTCCCACTGCAAAATTACAGTTATGAAGTAGCAACGAAAATAATTTTATGGTTGGGGGTCACCACAACATGAGGAACTGTATTAAGGGGTCGCGGCATTAGAAAGGTTGAGAACCACTGCTCTAAGCAATACAACACCCACTTGAGTTTTCTAATTTCACAGTTTATATAACATGCAAAAGAGAACCCCACTGTGTAGTGTAATATAAAGGCGTAGCCATGCCTGCATATTGTGTCTATATAAAGGTTTATGTAATAAGGTGCCCATCAGGCTGAGCCTGTCTCAGTGAAGACCGGTGACTTGTATCTTCAAACATTACCGAGGGTGAGGTCTGGTTATGGCAGCTTAACTACAACAACAGATGGGTCTCTAGTGATGATACCTATGCATGGATGGACATTTTCAACAAAGATTTTGTATTCTAATAGTAGAAATCCAGGCAAAAATAACAAGATAAAATAAATAGCCCTTTAAAAGATAAAGTAGCAAAGCCAACTTTTGCTGCAATATTCACTTTCAACCCACAGTACTTTTTTCTGCCACTAGATTTCCTCAGTCTGATTGCCAGGATCATTCAACTTATTTCTTCTGAGCCTAGGTCACCCTGGACTAACCCCAACCTGTGAATGGACAGTGAAAGGAGAAGCAGCACAGCAATGAGCTCATCTCTATATTACTCTGCTTTCTCCTCCTATCAGTATGCCTCTTCTCAGTACATGAACATATTATCTCCTGATGCTGCTTCCTCTCACACTTTAGCCCTGCTGTGCAGGAACTACAAGAGGCCAATACCAGGACAAATTCATGTACTTACACTGTTTATAATTAACTTCTTGACCCTACTGTAACTTATATGTGGGGTGGCAAAGAGAGTGGGCTTGAATACCCACAT